AGAGAGAGAGAGAGAGAGACTGTGTGGAAGAAGAGAGAGTGAAGTTAGCAACGAGCAAACGTATCAACATCAACGTTCTTTCTTCTCAGGTTTCAACCGCCGACCTGCGATGGCTGCTGAGGCCATCCAGGCAGGGCATGCTGCGATAGGTGAGTTATTCTCTAATGTTAAAGCGGATTGAAACTGGAACCCCGAGCTTGGAGTGCAACAAGCATATCTGAACACACACACACAGTATTCTTTTTTGATGTGCGAGTTGCTGCTCCTGTTGCTTCAGTTTGCTGGATCGTGTGCAGCTGCTTGCAGGCCTGATCACCAGCATGCAGAAGCGCGGGAGAAAAGCTAAAAGCGTTGGTCTAGAGTTTAGAAGCGAAGTGCGAGCCTTGAGGTGGCCGTCAGAGTCGAGGACGGCATCCCGAAGCTGCTGCCCGGCTCTGGTTCACCTAGGCGAGCGGGGTCAGCTTTCGAATCCAAGCCCAGGCTGGTGAAAATCAGCCCAAGCACATGCGCTGGCTTTGCCGCCAAGAACTTGGGCGAGGTGCTCTCTTGTCTGTGTCTGTAGTGTTCCTGAAGCTGGGGACTGAGCTCCGGACGTGATAGAAGCAGGTGACAGTGAAGAGACCTGGAGCACCGCGAGGACACGTGGCAGTCCTTCACCTCAGCAGGGGCCACAGAGAGCGTATGCTTGGAGGTTGGAGCAGGTCAGGGCGGCAGTTTCGGATTTTGCCTTCAGGCTCCGCCGTGCCCGCGGGCTCTGTCCTGATCTCCCTGAAGCTGTCGGAGCTCCTGGAAGTGACATCGGGGGATCAGGCCTAATCGGCTTCATTTCGTCGCGCGCGACGGATAATGAGAGAGAGGCCCTCCTCAAGCCCACACAAAACATGTTCTGGACTTCGGAACCAGCAGAACTTCTGACACTCGTTTCCTGATGAAATTAGATGCCGTTTCTCAACACAAAGGATGTACCCGAGATGACAAGCAGTCACGTAGCGTTTTGCGGAGCTATGGTTCGAGCATGGGGCTGCATAGCCGGCTATGTGCAACTCTTGCTACTGGCGTCTCTGCTCGCAGGTCCAGATCGTTCATTCTGACCGCGTTAGGCGGGCAGCCCGACGAGAGCCGCCTCAGGACCGGTGGTGGTTTGCGCTTTCTCCCGCCTGCTCACTCTTGCTTTCCATGCCCCCTCCTGTGGCCCCGCCCCTCATTTCCTGCTGTCTCTTCACTCGGTTTCTTTTCCCTCGAGCCTTTAATCGCTTGCGAAGCACAGCTATCCTCCAAAACCACTCCTTGTTTCTTGGCCATGCGGTTTCTGATGCGAAAGATGTAGACGGTCGGTGTTCATGTCAGGCATTTCGAGGCCAATTCCGCCACCTTGCCGAGGATCCCATGGTTATGAGACGTGGCTCTTGGAGTGATCTGCCGGTGCCAGGGCAGCGGGTGCAAGCGGTTCAGCATCTTGGACTTGTTTCAAGGATAGCTCGTGTTGGGGCATATCAACCCTCGGATAATGGGGGTAGAGCTGGCGCTCACGGGCACACGTGTCTCAGGCTTATGTGGATGGCATTGGCACATGAGAGCACACTAGACAATAACCGTCGCGGAGATTGGCATGTTTCCCGAGCTCATTTGGCGCACGCACGTGCATGCTTGCTGCTCTGTCAGGCTGTCTTTCCACGGTTTCTTCTGCACACAATCGTTTGCATGACAGCGTGCAGGATGTAGCTGCAGCTTGCCTCTTGCCATGTCTTGCCACCAGGGTGCCTACTTCCGCAAGGCAGAACTGGCGCGAGCCGCTTGGCGGCAACCGTGGGGTTTTCGGTGCACTGCCATTGGACCACGGGTCAGCGACAGAACACGGATGCAGTTGGGTTGCAAGCTCCCCATTTTTCAAGTCATCTCACGAGACCCTCACGTTTTGCAGGTCCTTCGGGCGGCCTTTGCAGGAGTCAGCTTTCCGATTTCTGGCTGCGGAGCTTCGAATCACGAAGAGTTCCTGGCGAGCTCCCAGCTTAGATGCGCTTGCAGCGATGCAGGATTCGACTCAATCACTTCACGCCCGGCCAGGGCGGCCCAAGGCAGCGCTAGGGCAGACGTCGCTGGAAGAGAGCATAGTATGGCATAGCTCTTCTCTTCATTCCGTCGATGTTTCTGTCTCGCTAGACTTGCAGAAGTGTGCTGTCGCAGAGACATCATCCCAAGCCCGGTCTATGCAAGAGTTGACAAGGAGACCTGACTGGTGTATAGCAGTAGTAGTAGTAGTAGTAGTAGTAGTAGTAGCAGTAGTAGTAGCAGCAGTGGCTCTTTCCTCCTGTCTGGACGCGCAAGCAGGAGCCGGTCCCACAAGCAGCAGACGAACTCGGCACAGAGACGCCTGGCCCAATTGAGCTGGGCCAGCCCATTCCAGCAGCCATGGTGTTGCAAGCCATGACTCCGGCATTGCTTGTGCCGAAAAGCCGACTTTGAGCTGCTACATGGCCCCGGGCTTCCCCATAAAGACTTCGCGCCGTCTTGACTTGAGACCACATGAGACGTGACCGTCGCTTTTGCTGCGAGGTTCTCGCCGCTGCCCAAAGCGATTCCGAGGACCGGAGCCTGGAGCTGTGCAGGTCGAAGTGTACAAGCGTACTTGGCATTTTGATTGAGCCACGTACGTTGCTATTTCGCTTGTCATGTTCGGGGACCGGCTTGAAGGACGAGCATTCAGTCGCCGAACCAGCAGAAGCTGAGCCAGAAAGCATCCAACCTTGGCTTCGCCACTCCCTCTCTGCCTGTGACGTGCCTTGCCTTGGGGAGTGCGACAAAACCTATGCAGGATACTATTCCAAGAGAGGCCTGAGGCCTGAGACGTTCTCTGTGCACCGATCTGAGAGCCGAGGGAGAGCTACGCTTCGCCTGCAGCTGCGACTGCCAGTGCACCTGGCCCGCACAGGCTACAGGCTGTAGCCGTGACAGTTGTCCGCAGGCATACATGCAGGGTTTGAACTTCTCCCGCGACCAAGGTACCATCTGCTTCTGCCCCAGGCACACCCCAGCGCTGCTTGATGCCGGCCTTTGCGCAGGCCCAGGCCACACCATGTGGGGCATGTGGCAAAGATTCACTGATGCCTGGTCAGGCCGCTCATAGCCAAAGGGGCGAGCCGCCCAAGCCAGGCCTCTCGCAAGCAGCTCCAATAATCAAAGCGCACTTTCGTTGGAGCGGCGCCGAGGTTACCCGCCAGTGGCCCAGCCGCAGGTGGTCCATCCACAAATGTCACAGCAGCAGCCGTTCAATCCGGCCACCCGCACAGCCTCTGGACTCAAGTTTAGAGAGCAAGAGGGGAGGGAAGTTCACTATTTGGGAGAAACTGCATATACTGCCAGGGAGACCGAGTCAGCACTCCCCGTTTGACCCCCTGACCGGAACACTGGGCTGAATTCTCAAGGTCTAGGCAGGCCCCTGACTTGTGGAGCTCGATTGAGGTGTTCAAAGCACCTGCGCACTTCGTACAACCTGGGTCGCCAGGGAGTGCAAGCAGGAGGGTGAGTCTGCCTTACCCCAGTGAGTAGAGGCCGCAGCGAAGCAGCGCCTTGACAGGACTCTCAATGCAGTCAATCCTGCCTCGGCTGGTTTCTCCAGGCAGGAGAGCAGGAGAGGGAGCTTCAGCCTGCGCAGCTCGGTTATGTTGAACAAGCTGCCGATCCCTTGCCGAGCCAGGCCCATGGCCAGCACCGCTCCAGCACCAGGCTGACACGTACTCTCCTGCAGTCAGCTAGTGTGTTGGCCTTGACATCTCCCATCGAGGACCCCCAAGCCCCGAGCTGAGGGTTTTCGGCAGTGTTGGCTGGGTAGCGGCACGAGGTCTCCATGCGGGTGCCGGGTACAGTTCAACCTGCAGATCTCAACGTGAGCTGAATAGACCTGTAGAGTTTATTGTTTGCACAACTGTCGGTGAGGCGGTATGTACATGAAGACTCCTGGTTTTCTTTGCATGGTCTATTGTATGGCTGTTTCGCTGCGGTTCAGGGCGTGTCAGATAGAAGCTGTGTCGAACTAGATTCCCCACCGCTGCACTCACGTCCAGAATTTGGCCGACTTATAGCACAGGTAAGTGGGATAAGTGCAAGTCATAACTACGTAATGAAAGAAAGCGCGTGGGTGTTGCATGTGTGATGTCTTGCACGTATGGCAGGCTGGGAAGAAACATTGATTGGCTCAGTAAGTTGTGGTGAAAAAATCCTGACGTTGTGACAGTTCTGCAGCCCACCGGAAAAGGAACGTGAGCTTCAGGTTTCAGGACGGCTCAGAAGGAGGAACCTAGAACTTTGCAGCAGCCTTTCTTTTCAAGTAAAGTAAGTTGAAGCTCTGCCAAAAACAAGAGGGAGAGATCTTCTCGCGCCCGGAGGTCGAAGACCTGGCACCGAAGCGTGCAAGGAGGCGGGTGGGACGTTGGGTACTCGGTCTTTGTCGCTTCTGTGGTTCTGCACAGCTCGACTACTGCCGACCGACCGAATCCCAAGCGGTCAGGGAAGTCACATCTTGTAAATGCAAGAGCAGTGCCGGAAGATGTTGGGCGGTCTGTTATCCAATCCATGTGCGCAAGACCGGTTTAACTCGCAGTTACTTTACATGCTTCGCACTTCTACTCGTATGGAGGCATTGGGCCAGGTGGAGGTGGCAGACTGGCTTCCTGCTTCCATGGGCTCACCCGTTTGGAAGGCTGCACAGCAGCCCCCGCCTTCGTCTCCACCAGCTCTGGTACCCAAAGCACCTTCCCAGTCACCCACACGCACGCACAGCCCAAGCCCAAGCCCTCCCCAAATGCGGCCTGAAGGAGCTCAGCCAAAGGTGCCGAGCCCAAAGCTCCAGCCGTTTCCACAGCCACAGTCCAGTCCACAAGGGCCTCTGCTGAGGGACGGAGAGCGTGCCGTGCGCGTGCGGCAGAGCGTCCCCAACTTGCAGCCACGTCGCGTGCACTCACAGGCAGAGCTCCAGAGAGGCACGGCGAGACATGGAGCGGAAATCCCATCCAAGATCAGCCCCAGCCCCAAGGTGGCTCTGAACAAAGAGCGCCAGTCCCTAAGCCCTCCTCCGCTTCGCATGCCAAGGGCGGCCCCAAGCGCAAGTCCGACCTCCGCTAGCGGAGAGCCATCACCATCCTTGGGCCCCCCCCCGGGCCACGCCCCAAGTCCAAGTCCGACCTCCGCAAGCGGAGAGCCGCCATCACCATCCTTGGGCCCATTCCACGCGCCTCCGGGCCACGCAGGCCACGCAGGCCACGCAGGCCAGCCGAACCTGGAGCCAGAGAAGGCAACGGCAGCACCTGCGCGCAACGGTGGAGTCAGCTGGCGGAACGGCACCCTGTTCGCACATCTCTGAGCAGAACAAGCTTCGTGCTGAATTGCATTGCTTCTTCTGCGCTTCCGCCCCGCCAGGCACCAGTGCTCAGAGGAACAGCCTGACGAAGGACAGCTAACCGATGTGTCGACAGTGGGTGCGAGGAAAGGAAAGAAAGACAGACACAGAGCAGAGAGCTAGATCCAAAGAAGAAAATGCGTATCTAAATCGGAGAAGGGCTAAATTTAGGCTGCGAGCCGTTGAGTCGTGGCTGTCATGGCTAAAGACTTTCTCGTAGCTTGAGTCGGTCCGATCTTTGCTCGGGGAGGGTCCAGACAGAGAGGTCAGCTGCCAAGCTTGTCCAAGGAGACTGCGGCAGACCGCAGCCTATCGCCGGCGCAGCAAATGCCTCAAGCATTCGCATTCGCTTTTCTTGCAAAGACAAGAGCTCGATGCCTCGGTAAGGCCTGTGGTGAAGCCCGCGGTCGGGCCCGTGGAAGAGACCAGCTCACCGAAGGTTCGCCAAGATTCGGGAGCACACTGACCTGCACGCAAGCTTCAGTGTCAGCCAGGCTGACTGCAGCGAGCAGCAGCCTCCTCCACTGGCCACGCGGATGCAGTCGTACACGTAGCAGCGTAGATTTTGCTCAGCTGCTCCTGCTTCTTGCTTCCAAAGCAGTGCAGGTCCAACGCCGAGATAAAGTTCGCCCGACAGCACTGGTACATCTTCCAGGTCGACCAGGGCAGAAAATTCAGTGGATTCAAAGCTCGAGTTTTCCAAGTGACTCGGCGAGCGTTTTGCGGGCTGAGACTTGCCGAGACTTCCCGTCCTGTGGGGTAAACCGCATATGACTATGAGAGCAGGTGTTTTGTGCTAACGTGGACGCTGTTGGCCATCCCAAGATGTGCATTAAACTTCTGCTGTGTGACAGAAGCACTGGTCTAGCATGTGCAAAGGGTGACTATGGTTCTAGTTGGCCAAGACTTACGTAGAAAGCCTTGGCTTGCCCAGACTTGAACTTGTTACGGCTGGCCTGTCGGCCAAGGGCGGAGCAATTGTTGCAAAGCTCAAAGCTTTGCTTCGCCACAGAAGCCCGAAGGTCCTCTGCAGCGTCTGTCGCTTGTCGGTGTGAACCGCAAGAGCTTGCAAGCAGAAACTCAACGCTGAGGCAACTGTACATGCCGAGAGCACGGTAGAGTTTGTTCTGCGAGCCAAGCAAAACTATTAACATGTGGTGACTGCACGGCATGTGGAAGTCCCGCGCGTGACCATCACTCTTGTGAACCAGTGAGACCGGAGGCCTTCCGCACTTCAACCTTTCAAGCTGAGGCCCCAGCCCGAAGCACAAGCACAGAAGCTTAAAAGAAGGGCCTACACGAGGCCAGCTCAACAGACAGCGAGTACACTAGCGAAGCTTTGTACAGACACTGCGGTGGCTCAGAACAGAACGGGTCACGAGCTCAGACGTCCTCAGCAGCAGCAGCCGCCGGGTCACCGAAGTCGCCCTCAGCCTCGGCAACAGCAGGTCACCGTAGACGCTTGCAGCCTCGCCAGCAGCGCGAGCGGCACCAGCGCTCCTGGAGTCGTCTGCGTCGTCGCCCGGAGTAGCACCGTCGTTTTGCTCAGCAGCGGCCGCAGCTGCACACCGAGCTGCTGCAGCAGCACCGACTACATACTTCTGCAAAAGTTCCGAGCCCTGAGCTGCAGCAAGGATCACATCGCATTCCCACTTCATGGCCCGCCGCTTGTCGCGATGCCATGCCTCACGGTTTGAGCCTGCCGCCCGGCGTGCACGGCAGGCGTTGGCAGCAGAGTCAGCTTTGTCGTTTAGGGCACGACACACACCAGCAAGAAGTCCACTTGGAGGGACCCAGGACGGCCGTTTGTTGTGCGAGGGAACCCAGTGCAGCGACACATCAAGCTTGCTACTTTGCAAAAAGCGAAAAAGTTCGGCAGCCTCCTTGGCGTACACACCAAGACAACAGGTGTCGGGACTGCTCACCGCGTGTTGCGCAGCTTGACAGTCCGTGAGCACACGGACTCGCCCACTGCCTTTCAAAAGCACTAATGCTCTGAAGAGCGTAAGCAGGGCCAAAAGCTTTAACCTGAACGGGCTCTGGTCCTCTGCAGAGTCGCCGCAGGCAAAGTCAGCCGAGGCAGTGGCGATTGCCAGTGCCCCCACGTCATGAGAGGAGCCGTCCGTGGCCACAAGGATTTCCACATCCCCTTCAAGAAGCGCTTCAAGGTGCTGCACCAGTCTGGACACCACGTCTCCGAGAGGTTCAGCAGTAGGGGCCGCCGGAAGTTCAAGAAGAGGTGCAGCGCTCCTGCGCTCTGTCGGTTGGGAGCTCCAACCGCGAACGAAGGTGCGCCGTTGACTCACGCTTCCGGGCAACATAGGGCCGTGACGGCCACTTCAAACCACACCGACATGTGACCTCGAAACCTTTGGGCACCTGCTTGCGAGCGGCAGCATACCAACCTGTGCCACCTGAAGCTAAAGCGGCACGACGAACCGCTAGGCTGTCGTCGGCGGCCAGACTTGCATGACCAAGCAGTGCAAAGCGAGCATGCGGAGGCGGACGCGGGAGGTCCAGGCCGCAGGCACGTGAAGGATCGGCACGGTGATAGCTCTGCCGCACTCTCGCCGTATCAAGGATAGCTTTTTGCTTAAAGGCGTCAGTGACCCAACCCCTATAAGGACCCTTAAATATCCTTAAATGATCAACCCCGGGCACAAAGGTACGAGTGACCCCGTAATCATCAATGCGGGTGATCGCAGAGCCTGCCTGAGAGAAAGTCCACCCCAGACGGCAACACACGTCGGCAGCAACAGGCACGAGGTCCTGCCACATCGGAAGTGCTCCTGAAGGTTCCTCCCCCCTTAGCCACAGAGGCGGCCGCGCAACGACCCTAAGTGCGACTTGCAGAGCCCGCCAGTTGAGGACGCATTGTGGCTCGAACTGCCAGCCATGCGCGGCCCACACCAGCACAAAAGGGGCATCCTTCGCCAGTTGGGGCTGAAGCATGGCCTGAGTTTCGGCACGAACACGTGCGACTTCCTGTGGATTCGGGAGAGCCACACCCGCAGCCCACGCCAGAGCCGAAGTCACAAGGCTGTTGTACACCAGTTTTTTGATTCGGATTGAAGCGCTGCACATGCGCAGGTACCTTAGCCGAAGAAGCACGAGTCCAAGCTGGAGTGTCAGCAGGAAGTCCGGGCGTTCGTCAAACTGAAGCACGACCCCCAAAATCTCGAGCGAAGTTTCACAAGGATATTGGCGAGCAGCAGCGAGCGCCTGCAAAGTCTTGTCTCCCGGCGGCTGGACTGCCGCACACTTGCGCGTACAATTAAAACCAAAGAGGCTATCAAAAGAGTGGCACTTATCTAAGACTCCAAGGCCCTAGCAACTTGAGGAGTCCCTGGCTCGGGCCAAACCCTGTCATCTATGTAGAGTCTGCAAGTCTGCGGCGTAGCACAGTAGAGACTCCACAAATGACCGAAGACCAAAGCTATGGTGGGACTTCAGGGGCAACCTTGAATCACCCCACGGGAAACCCCAACCCATTCAGAGTGGTAGTACCTTTGACACGTAAAAATCCTTTTCTGACCAAAGCACGTCTCACGAATCACAGCACGGACCTCCCAAACAGCCTCGCTTCACTCGCATTTGTTCGTCGCACTGCAATTGTTGGGCAGGTGCAGCCCGGAGCGTTAGTGCCAAGCCTCGGCGCACTGGCACCGTGCGGCGCCCTGCATCACAGGGCCTTGGCGGGATCCTCAGCCTTCCCGAGCTCCTGGCTTCGAGTATCGCACGGCTTTGTGCGTGAGGATCCTTTCTGCTTGTGTGCTAACCGGGTTACACGAAGTTCAGGCATACAGCAGCTGATGCGATCTTCGATTTTGGACTGGAAGACCTTAGTACGAGCCTACGAGCCCAGGCCACTTGCAATGTGAGCCTTGTCCAGCATGCACCCAGTCGGCAGCTGCGCCGCTCAGCTCCATTATGCTCAATGGTTTCTGAATGCTTGGCGATGCTGTGCAGGCGGATGTCAATTTCTGTGTTTTCGTGGCAACGGGAATCTTTGAGCAGATCTCTCAGGGCGTCTGTGAGTTGCGACTGGCGGCGGCCACAGAGCACGGGTGGAGGCAAGGCAAGCTTCGGTTTGGGCTGCATGCAGCGATAAAGTGTTTGAGCCACGCCCCACATCCCGCTCGCAGCAAACAGGCAGCTGCACAGTGCTGGTGTTTAAGCAATCAGCCCATCCATCAGATATCATGTTTTAGCCTTTTGGTCTGGTTCCCATTGCTTGAAGCTCATCGCCTCGTCAGGAAGCCTGGAGCGATCCGAGCTCGGCCCAGAGATCACAAGTGAAGTGCGCCGGTGGCTGCTGGGCCTCACTGAGGGCCTGCAGTGCTCGCATGCAGCTTGGCTCTTGAAGGCTAAGGGTGCAAAGTAGCCGATACGGTGATTATCGGCAGTTGTTGGGGCACTGGGCGCGTGGCCTCAAGGTGGTGATGGACAAGGCACTGACGGTGCTCTCGAACTTCAAGCTGTCCAGTGGCTGTGAGCTGGAGGTGCTGAAACCTTTGTTGACTCGTGCATCTGAGCGGAGCACATCAGAGCGCGAGAGACTTCTGGAAGGGCAGGAAAAGGGATAATTCGGATAATTCGTCACATTGAATATGCGAAGCTGGGTCAACATCTGTGTTTTGCTTGTCTGCTTGTGCTTTGCATGGTTGCTGTTGCCTTGCACCCTCGAGGATGTCCTTCATTTGCACCATTCGTTCCACTGATCCTTTTGCATCGCCTGCATCAGCCGTCCGTTGTCTTTCAGACGGCCTGTTCGGGAAAGTTTCCTTCCTGCCTTGGCCAGAGTGGAAACCGCGAGACAGTGCATCTGGGCCGGCGCTGTGAGAGATGGAGAGAGACAGGGCGGCCTCTCTTGGCCGAACTACTTCTTTCTGCTACTTCCACAAGTGATGTAGACCGCCTAATCTCTCACCTTGAGAGTAACTATTATATGGACAACTCAAGGCCACAGTACCAACAATTCTTTATCTCCAACTGGGCTCTTCCCAGTCTGTTCAGTTTCGATCCACGGGGAGTGTGTCGTAGAGAGACGTGAACCCCCCCCCCCACGGAGCTTTGTCCCCTCTGTCCGTCCGATCCATTCGATCCATAGGTGGCTGCGCGAAACACGGCCCCTACCGTGCCCAAAGGTGCCCTGCTTTTTTGCTACCGTTTTGTATTCGCTGGCAGGTTTCAAGCAGAGGGACAAAGGAATCTTACTGTTGTTGATTTCGTCGCGATCCTTACTACCTACCACATTATGCCCTGAAGCCGTAATTAGCAAGTCTCCCGGACACGGCGGATGACCCGAGTGAAGCCTGGGTATGTATTGGTCATGGTGCCATGCGAGAGGGAAAAAATGGTCATGGTTTAGCAGGGGTGTTCTTTTGGGTTCGAGCAGGCTCATTCGGGGAACATCGTGGCCATGCCCGGAAGGGGGAGAGAAGACAGACCGTCGCGAGCAAGGGGGAGTAGGCCTCCTGTCCCCATACCCCAAGCAAGCAAACAAGCAAGCAAGAAAGAAAGAGAGAACGAGAGAGCGAGCCAAGTTCTAACTGTCTTGTATTTGCTTGCCCTTTCACTTTGAGTTTGCCTCGGTGGAGTGTGCACGCTGAGTTCTTTGTCTCCGGCACCTGTCGGGGGCGCACCTGCGCGCGGCGTAGGGGGATTTCCCCTTGCGCCACAGCCCTGGCGAAAGAAAGAAAGAAAGAGTGAGCCAAGCGACTGCCTCGGGGCGACGCTACAGGCCTCCTCCTGCCTGGTCGAGAGACAAATTCTGCCGGGCTTCAAGAAGGAAAGACAAAAGAGATAGAGAGAGAGTCCGGGTGAGAGAGAGAGATAGATAGAGAGAGAGAGAGAGGGATTGACTTGGCTGTGTTAGTGGACGACAGATTGGCCGCGGAAGACAGATTGGCCGCGCTCGACAATCAAGAAGAAACCGGGAAAGAAGGAGCATGGCCCCATATGCTGCAGGTGAGTAACAGAGTAACATCGAACAGCTGTCGCAGGACCGCTTAGGCTTAGACATGAGAATAGTTGCGCGAGTGCAAGCGCTACCCTTGGCATACCCAGGGCTGTATGAACCGGCACAGCTGCATGTGCCATGTTGTCCATGTTCTTCATGGTACTTGTACCTGTCACTCCGGATACGTTTGCGTTTTGCGTTGGCCAACCCCGGGCCAGGGACAACTGCAGTCGCGTTAGCCCAACAGCCACAGTTTTCACCAAGTCGTGCCCTCCCTACAAGGGGGTTACCCCTGGGCCCTGTGTAGCAACGAACGAAAGAAAGAGAGGGAGAGAGAGAGAGAGAGGCATCGCGGTAGGGGGGCAACCCTCTACTGTAACCCCGGGAAAGAAAAGAGGCATGTCAGACTTCATTTCCCGCACAAGGCCCCACGACAGCGGTGCACCATGCGATCCCCGGAGCCTTGACAGCTCCCTTAGTGCCGGAGAACAAGACAGAACAGAGAGAAAAGGAGATGAGCAAGCCCCTTTCTGCCACGTGAGCTCTTTCGACAGCATGTCATGTTGGACTTGTGCGGTTGGTCTCCGGGCATGTTGGTGCAGCATTGGATCATCAGGGGGGTTGTATGCTATGGGGATCCGTCGCCTATCTGCATACTGTTCCTGTGCTGCAGGTGCTTGGAGGGCCACTGGGTGCCATCGTGGGTAGCTTGACGGCAGATCTCGTTTAGTTCAGCTCGAGCTCTGAAACATTAGTTTCTGGGAGCATAAATCGCTTCAGGCGGATACAACGAAGCCGACTGGCTCCACCAGGAGATATTCTCCAAGTCTCCAGCGGATGCGGTGAAGGCCAAGTTCGAGAATCTCTGCATCTGCTGGTGCATCAGGTGGTCGTCTTCGTAGTGTTTGTCATGGCTTTTTGCAAATGCACTTCAAGCTTCCCGAAAGCAAGCCCCAAAACACCACGCATCTCTTCTCCGGTCGCAAACTGCCTGCGGCGTCAATGCCACTTCCTACGTCTGGCTTTGGGGCTTCTGCAGCATTATAGCCGAATGGGCTGACTTTGAGAGGAGTCCTTCGAGCTGCTCGGCTTCGGCGACGTCAGGGAAGGTGACTGGTCTAGTGTCATGGTGGAGGTCGGCCACTGGGTCAGGGGTAGTGTGCGACGGGGGCATCTCTCTGCAGAAGTTGTCGCATCCGTTTCCTTCGATGGACGATTTCCGCCAGCAGTGGAACGAGCTCAAGTATGCATACATACATACGCCCCGCACAGAGACACACACAAGCTTGCCTCGGTACATGTTGTATGTATTCCACGTGATGTATTCACTTTCATGTGACGACACTGGCAGCAACAATTATTGAGTTGATAGTGATGATCATGGTAGCATTTAGACATGCAGTCCTTTTGGGTTGCTTCACTTGCAACAAGGTGTACATCACGGTCAGGCGGAGTGGGTTTTGACTCCTTTGCGAGTTTCGCAGGAAGTCTCCCTGGCCTACCGTCGCCAGTGCCTTCGGGGCCATCCCAGCAGGGGAGGTCCTGCCAGGGGCTACTTGAAATTGCAGGCACAGCCGCTTTAGACGGAGTCATTCCTTCAAGAGTCTTTGTGACCGATGCTGAAGAGGTGGCCATGGAGGTCATCCGTGCATTCTGTGGAGAAGCCGGTCCCCTCACGCCCGAACCAGCGGAGGAGGTAGCCGGGGATCAGGGGCCGTGAGAGCTCCGAGGATGTCCCACACACCCCTGAGTCACACAGCGCAGACGTTCATCGACTTGGCTTTTCTGAGAATGTGCCACTTCTGCCACCCTGCTTCTTAAGGGCGATGAACCTGCCGCGCGGAATGTCAGAAATCAGCTTCTTTTTTGGCTCAAGTGGGCGACCCGGAATTTCGTTTGATTCTCAAGGAGGTGCTCAACTTCGCGTTTCTGGTCTTTTCCAGCAGCTTGGACTGAGCGGCCACGCTTCTGTTCGTCTCGCCATAATATAATATAATATAGTATAATATAATATAGTATAATATAGTATAATATAATATAATAGAGCGTCAGTGCATCGGACCGCAAAGATGCGAGGCCATGGCGGCACATTTCTCCACCTTGGCGCGTCATGTTCAGCAAGTCGTCTCTAAGATCCCAGTTCCGGAGTGGGATACTGTGGATGCCGCTAACGTGGATCGAAAAGAGGAAGCTTGGCTCAATTGCCTGTATGCGCGGACATGCTCCTCTCTATACATATACATACATATATATATATATATATGTGCACTGTACACACACACAGGCATGCTTGTCCCATGTAATTTTGCAAGTGTAGTGTGGTGCCGGGGCACGCTTTGACCTGCATGAAAGCAGCAACAGTGGGCGTGAAACGCGCTACTAGTACTAGTGCTAGCAAGTGCCAGCACTAGTTTTTGTACTAGTACCAGTCCTAGTAGTAGTCCGAGTACTAGTTGTAGTCATATTCCTAGTCCAATATTATAATCCTTGTAGACCAGTAGACTAGTAGTCGTCGTAGCAGTAGTAGTAGTAGTAGTCGTCGTCGTCGTCGTCGTCGTCGTCGTCGTCGTCGTCGTCGTAACAGTGGTAGTGGTGGTAGTAGTAGCACGACGACTACTATTACGACTTCTTTCTTTCTACTACCTGCCACTACCTACTACTACCTACTACTCCACCTACTGCTACCTACTACTAAATACTTATGCCTACTACTACCACTGCTACCTATTACTACTACCTACTGCTACCTACTACTAGAAAGGATACAGACCTAACAGCCAGGTCTCCGTAACACCCCTACAGCACACACCTTCGCGTAGGAGGGCTTGCTTTTGAAGAACTATGTGGTGCGTGCGCGCTAGGATGGTGTTATCATCCCCTCCACCCCATTCCCGAAGTCCCAAGCGCGAGTTTGCAATGTCGACAAATAATTTTTATTTGCGGCATAAAGGTGGTAGGACACTAGGTATTTTTTGGAAACACCGAGTAAAGCGGATGTGTTGTTAAGAAGGTGTACAGCCAGGCGCACCACCACCACCACCAGCAGTTCTGACACGCAACAGCCGCCAAGACAACACTGTTGGCTGTCCTACATTGTCGGCTGTCTTGCAAGAACACAACACTCCAACTGGCACATTTGCGATCCCGATGTCTTTCCAGTTGCCCGTGAGATTATAGACCGGGACTCGATATGCCCAGCATTGTTTCACGGCTTCGTTCAGCTTACCTGTTCCAGAGCAGTCATACACTGCGAGCCACGTTTCGACACGACCAACAGACCTGTGACTTGTCAGTCCAAGGACGCATTCCTGGGAGTTCGGAACACCTTCTTTGACTTGAGTGATTCGCCCTCGCTGCAGCAGTGGTACAAGGACACCAGAGGCATACGCTCATGCCCGGCCAGCGAGCATGGTGATGATGACCGGACTGTATGCGGTGATGCTGATGTTGACGAAGACGATGCCATGCAGACGCCAGAGCCATCTCCACGCCTTTTCCATGAGGAAGAGAACCCTCAGCCCTCACCTGCAGCATGCAATGCGGCAGAGCCAGCAAAGGCCAGGACTCCATTAAAGAGTGGTGCAAGCCCATACCGGCCAACGCCTGCGGCAGCACCGACATGCAGCACAACCTATTATGCTGTGCCCCCGCCAGTGGGCACCACAGGTCAAGCTCTTGCGGCAGAGTACCACCGCAGAGTGCAAGCATCGCGGCTGCAATTATCGCAGGCTCAGGTCCGGCAAAACATCCCGCCGACCTATGCGCCTCCTGATCACCTCAAGGCCGGATGGGTTGTCACAGGTCAGAAGTCTCCAGCAGCTCCTAGATCGCTCTGAACCAAATGCGCAAAGGCAAAGCAGCTTGCCGTTACGACGCCTCTTCAGGCTGGCTAGTTTTCTGCTGTACCAGTGAAAGGGGACTGAGGGGATATCCATGGCCTGGTTTTGGCCACTTGACAGGTGAGCTCACCGGTCCTGGGTTCAGAAGTACTTCCAAGTGCCTTGCCTGCTTAAGTCCTCTTTTCTGCTTTCTGGGTCTAGCGCCTGCACGGTCAAGCTTCTACTCCGCCCGTGCCGCTGCAAGTAAGTTGGTTCCAGGCAGACCAGTGGTTCTGCGTAAGTCCCTGCAGCGCCATGCTGTGCCCGGAGTGAATCTGAATTGAAAGTGCCGCCAAGGTCTTGGGTCGGGTGCGCATGCCACTGGTGAATGTCGACCTTGCGCCTTCTTCCACAAAAACCGCTGTGTAACAGGCCATGGGATTGATGCCGTATCTACCGCTCTCTCTCTCGCTGTCTATCTTTTCCTGTTTCCTTCCCTCGCTCCCTCCCTAGCCCACAGACCCTCTCTCTCCCTCGTCATCATTCGTTGGGAACGGAATGTTCAGCGCACCAGTGTCCGCGGCAAATTCTGCAAAACAGTGGCAGAGAGCTTTGCCGTGATTCTTGAACGTTCCTGTCGCAGGCCGAACCTGCCTGTTCTGCCACCTCTGTGATGCCGGTGAGAAGAAGCGCCGACTTCGGCTGCAGAAGACCAAGCATGTGCAAAAGCCGTGAGATCCATCTTCGCGGGCTTGCGGTAGTCTTCAGAGCGTGTGTGTCATTCCGGTCACACTTAGGGCTCCCTAATAGGGTCCCGCCAAGCCAGGTGAAACCTGGTCTGCTGGGAAGCCTAGGATGATTCAATTGGGTGCACGCTTTGGACGATTTTGTGCGCGTGACTTTCATGATCGAAGGGCACTGCGTCCTCAGAGGCGGATGGCCTCTAATTGACAAGTTCTTGAGCTGGCTTGCCGATTCACTCACGGTGTTCCCGGCATCCGTGGCCGAGGCATTATTTGCACATTTTAAGATACCCTTGCTTTGTTGCTGCCGCACTCTGGCAGGGAGGTCTGTATGCATCTTCGCAATTTGCGCTCGAGATTGTTTGTCGGACATTTGTTTGCTCCTTCTTGTCTACTCTTAAGACCTACCAGGCAGTGCTGCAGCTACGCGGCTGAAAGGCTGTGCTAGTGGTCTCCGCTGTGCCAGTGAGGCTTTTAAGGCAAATAGGTTGTGGCCATCGTCCTAAGGACTCGGCTACAGCAAGAAAACAGCGCTGAAGACTCACTCCATGGCCCTCGTTGAACAGTTGTATGCACACAATAGTCTCGTGAATCCGTAGTTGATGTGGTGGGCTTCGAATTGTACCTCTCTTGATCCCGAAGCTTGATTTTTCGATGTTTATGGGCAGGTGCTTGACTTGAAATTTCGGGTCAACGCCTCATTCCATTGAGACAGGACCGAGCATGCTCGACTTCTCACCGGCACAAGTGAACCGCCAGTGGCGTGTATTCCACAGGGCAGCCGAGAGAGCCCGCAGCAGCTGCTGACATAGTTCTGTTTCTCTCACAGCAAGTGAGATTTTGCCCCGCATATGCTGGCAAAGACTGCTGCGCCGTGGAGTCCCACAGCTGCATGGCTATACACATGTGGCAAACTATGCTTGACGCCTGCCCTGCTTTTCAGATCTCATCCGTACCCTTCGTTCTAGATGACCTCGCGTTGGCGCGAGAGCATCTTGGTTTGCAACGCATTGTGACGGTGATCATTGCCGAGGAGTGTGGCAAGAAACACGTTGCACCTGGCAAGGTTGGAACTGACGCCGTCTCAGGCTGCACAGGAGGCCTGCCAGTTACTTTTCTCTCGGTAAGGTGACAGCGCGTGCAGCATGACCTAACTTGAGATTGCCTGCTTCCTTCCGGCAGATTCAAGAGCTGCAGGCAGACAGTTTGCCGGTCCAGAGGCTCGAGGAGCTTAACCGGGCCTTGGATGAGTACATCCTCCGACACTCGGCAGATCGAGACAGAGCAGTATGAGTATCACAGGCGGTTTGCCAAGCTAAGCATTCCATCTTGGTGAAGCCTACCAAGGACAGATGTGCTTCAAGAGCGAGATTGTGGCAGAAATCGCGCGGCTGCACGAGAACTCTGCCTACTCCATCCTCGGGGTGTCGCCGGATGCGTCTGATGCAGAGCCTCGCTGCACCTGCAACCGCCTCCAGCCCTCACAAGACGAAGCATCCCCAGAATCCCCAGTATTCCCGAGTTCAAGACGAAGTGCGGCCCGAGGAAATCAAGAAGGCATATCGCGTTGTGGCGATGCAGTGTCACCCAGACAAAGGTACGCTCGGCGGTTGCGCTTGCTACTATAAGGCCTAGAACGGTCACCTCCTCCTTACGACGGCACCCCACTTACGATTCACCAGATTTGTGAGGGTAAAATCGTAAGTGTTTGGGATGAGGCGTGCTTCTGCTGTGGCTTAACCAGGGCCTGGTGATGATACTTCATGCGTCTCGTAAAGAGCGTGCCAGTGTTGCCAGTGGTATTGCTACTACATACGAAGACGATCAGCGATTACGGTGGCGACGCCGCTACATGCCATGTGTGTGGAGAGTTGTCGTGCATATTCGTGCATGCTCAAAGGACAAGTTGCACCAGTGTGCGGCCAAAACCCAAGAGAAACGACCACGGCCAAACACACATCACAGGCCAGGCAGCGGCTAGCACGGCTCCTGGGCTCTGTGCAGGTGGCGACAAGGCGGAGTTCCAGGAACTTCACGAGGCCTACGAGAAGATCATGGAGCAGCGAAGGAGTTCCTTGGCAGCCTTAGTTCTGTTTTGAGGAGTCCGCCGTGGGAAGAAGATTCAGCAAGGTTCGGCCAATCTTGACGGCAAGTCCCGAGCCTTTGCTGCAGATCCAGGTCTCCTTTTAGATTTCCGTCTCCCTGATCAAGCTCCTGCATGCTCCCATCGAGGCAAGCAGCGCGAAGCTGACAGTGACGAAGATCCAGACACCGAAGAGAAGGAGAAGGAGAAGGAGGAGAAGGAGGAGACTGAGGAAAGGGAAGAGAAGCCTGAAGAGAACCACCAGGCATGATGTGTTGAGATCCACTGACTTGTTGGTCATGGGCTTCTAAGCCATTTTCCTTTAACTGCCCTTAACTCTCGATCTCTGCCTTAGTCTCTGATCGCCGTCGGGGTTCCGAAGTGCACCGCAAAACTTAGTTTCTCAGCAGGCCTGTGATGGCCTGTGCAGAACCTGGTCTTTGGTCTCGATTCCCCTTGGCTTAGCATTAGGTTAAGGCCTGAGTTATGGGACATGGGGTCGGTTAGGTCAAACGCATCAGTGGCACTGGCAGTGGCGGCAGTTGGGGGTGGGGGTGGTTGAGTCCCTGATCGCTGGGTAGTTGAGTTTCATTTTGCTGACTTGCAAACCATGAGCCTCGTCCGGCAGCCCGAGTCTGAAAGGGCATCAAAGCAATAGACAGGAGAAAAAAGAAGCCTCCTCGGAGCGAGCTGAGGCAGAAGAGTCGGAAGAGGTTCCAATGAGATGCCAGGAAGCGAGCTGTTCTATTCTTGCATTCTGCAGGACGGCTCCGATGCCCAGCTCCTGGCCAAGGCCGCCAAAGCGGCAGACGAGGCCTCGCACTACGAGCCTCGGCTGCACAAGTGGTTCCCACTTGGTCACCTCCATGCCACATCAATGCCTGAAGCCGACTTGTGGCTTTGCAGCGACCGAAGGCCAAGACAGCTGCTGAGTTCGCCCACCAGGTGCCAGGGTTCCGGCAGATGGCGGAGTCGGGGGCCTTGCCCTGCCCTGCCCTGCATCTGACATGTCCCAGGCTGCGGAAGCAGCGGAAACGGCGCGACAAGGCGGGGTGTTGCCATGATTCAGGTGTCGGACAGTCGTGCGCTGGCTACTGAGTAAGACACAGGCTGGTGTCGTGAGAGAACTGCCATCGGACAGAAAGAGTTTGCGATCACAGCAAAAGTGGTTTTAAGCATCAAGGCGGCATCGAATATTGCAGCATCCCTGTCCAGCTACCTGTCCAGGCTGTGTGTTGCGTTGTCTTGTGGCGTCGGCTCTTCTGTGTGACATCACTTTAGCGATGTTTGAACTCTGTTTTCGCCTACACGCCTGCCATGACACGTCACACGAAACACACGCTTGATACTTGATGGGCAGCGTCAGAATCAGTTGCTTTTGAAAAGCAACAAGCACATTCAGCAGATTGACTTAAACAAGCAGCATAAGCATTTCCAACCAGCCTTCCACAGACACTTCTTGCGCTGTGTACTATAAGGCAAAGCATCACCTCCATTCGGGGATGCCGCGAAACCTCAGTTGGGTGTTCTACAGAGCAATTCCACGGCAAGTTCGAAAAAATCTTGTTTAGTTTGAAGTCTGCAGCCCCGCCTGTTTAGCCCAAGGGCTTGCTGTCTGAATCCTTCGCCGCTCAACGGCATCCACGGTGGCTGTTTCTGGCGTTAGGTCTGCTGGGCATGGGAGTTTGGCGAATGCTTTGCAGGTCGTGATTCTGGTGGTGCCATCACCTTGACCAAGTCCATTGCACATTCGGCCATCGCGGGGCACTTTGTCCGTGGTGATGCAGACGAGAGCTAATTGGATCACAGCCACCAGAGGTCCTCACACTGACCGTTGTGAAAGCCGTTCGTGTGGTGGGCTATGCTACTATGGATGTGGCAGCCCAGTGCCGCCTAGCATCCAGGCCTGCTGAAGAAGCTTCCGCCTTCAATTTTGAGGTTTCACGTCTGTGTGAAGGAAATTCACGGAAGCCTCATGTGCCGAAAGCTCCACAGAGGCCAAGTCTGAAGCTACTGCCAGACCTCGTGGAGACCCTGAGAGTGCGAACGGATTGCAGGCAATGGGGCTTGGCCTCGAGGCCCTCAATGCGGCCTTGGCATGCGCGGAGGCTGCTCGCGAGCAGGCGTCCATCCAGCGGCCTGCAACTGATGTGAGCCGAAAAGGTCACGGAGACTACGGCGGCAGAGCTCCAGGTACCAGAGGGCCTTGAGGCACAAGCGGGAATGATCCTTCGAAGCTTGCGAGACATAGTGGCATTCTGCAGGCTTCTGAAGCAGCCGAGCGCTTTGTCAATGCTGCCGTCGCTTCGAAAGCAAGAAGTGTTCGGACATGGCTTGGTAGTATGGGCCGGGATCAAGGGAGCGCAATCTGCAGTTGCAGTCATGAGTTACCAATGTTTTCGATAGTTTTGGACCTTGTGCCGGCCGGGCCCAAGGGCATCAGCGCGGTTTGTTTGCTGTCTTCGTCTTGTCGGCATCTCGTGCCAAGGTACGCGCCTCGCTAGCAGCTGCTAGTGCATCCAATGCGGCGATGTCTGCGGCCATTGCGGCGGTCGAGGGACATCGTCAGTGCATGCAGGCATCATACAAGTTGTTAGTGCCCCGACTTCCGAGAACATGGATCGCGCCCCTTTCAACAGAGTCTAAGCAGCGTGAGGCCGTAGAGGCCAAGACGGAGACTGCAGAGGCTGGTCCCGTGGTTCGGGGAAGGAATGACGAAGTGCTCAAAATGCCAGATGTCACGGTTTCTCTGCACACTTTAGTGTGAGCATCCAGAATCCAAAGCCCTGAACCAATGGCGTGGGGGAACACGCACGTTGGCGTCCAGCCAAGTCTGCGTTCGTAGAGTCGCTGCGGTCGATTTTTTTTGCAACAGGTTGCACCTGCGGGGGGTGGTCTGCTGCCAAGTTCTACAAACTTGACGAAAAAGACTTGATAGCAAAAGAGGGAGGGAGGGAGGGAGGGAGGGAGGGAGGGAGGGAGGGAGCATGTGTACAGACCAACTTCCGGGTGGGGCTGGAGAAGGACGAAATCTTACGCCGACTTACGCTCCAAGGAGGGTCATTACGAGGAGAGGCATGCGGCACCATGAGGATTCTGGGTGGTCCGGGGGAAGCAGAACAAGAGACAAGACGAGATAACCGCAACCGCATGCAACCGCCTCATGTCCACATGCTAATGCAGTGCATCTGCATCCAGGAGGGACCTGAACCTGCCGAAGCTGACAAAGACGACGCATCGGAGGGAAAGGAGGGGACGAGCCTCATCTTGAAGAGGCATTGGCATGCACTGGAAAAGTTTCTCGGAGGACCAGTCGCAGCCGTCAGATCATGGTTCCGACGACGAGTCCGAATCCTTGGTGCCCACGCAGCGCTCGTAAGAGACCGGGACCCTTGTCAGGTCGGTGAGCCCTCCTGAGCCGCGCCGGCACAGCAAAGAGGACTCAGCACAGGCCGCCATCAGGAGGCCCTGGGCTCAAATTGGCTGAATCTCGGAAACTCTCCGGCTAAAGGCAAGTTGGTGCATGAAGTGCCTAAGGCAAGTCACGCAGCGGAATAACAACCACAAGGCGCCTACTCGAGCAAACCGTCCTGCGATCCAGTTGAACCGTGTGCGCTTTCGTGCACAGGTGCTCCAGCGTTTGAATGTCGGAGCTTCAGGTTTCCCCATGGGGTGATGAGACACGAGAGCACGAATCTACCCTTGAAAATGGCGACCGAGCCCGACATCGTCATGCACCGGAGTGAACCCTTCAGTGGACTGAGGCGGAGATCTTGACACACCAGCAGAACGTGAGGGAATTCTTGCAGGATGGACACATGGAGCGTGACAAGATAGTGTGTACGGATGTAGTGGTGCCTGCCTGCAGAAGCTACCATGCAGCGTGAGATGATACGAGGCGAACCGCCAACTTATCCCGGCGGTGTCCACAGAGGCAAAGGGCAGAGTCCACACATTGCTACCCGCCAGCAGTTGTTGAGCGTGGTGCTGCCAGTCCAAAGCCCTCATACACCCAAGCCTGCAATTGTGGGGGTTGACATTTGCCGACTTCTCGGCAAGGGTTTCAGCAGGAAAGCCGCGGAAATGCTTCGTCGGCCATCGCAACACTCTTTCCACCCTTTGCAAATTCCCAAGCACTTGCACAGCCACATCGCAGTGAGCCCTGGCATGGTCGCAACTGCTCGCTTCGGGTTTAGAAATTGGGATGTTTGATGTTGACTTTGCCCGCATGAAGTGCGAGCTTCAACCAGCGAAGGCATGAGCCAGCTTGTTTGCCCATGATGTGCATCCTCGGCCCATGCCCATCCCTGCCTCACAGTGAGGCACTCCTTCAACTTCAGAATACATCGCTCCGTCCGAAAAGTCCTGCACAATCCGAGGCTCAGCAATTATGCGCGGGAAGCATGGTGCTCAGGATCGAAACACGGCAGAGACTGCTTCGTGACCACATCCGAGTTCCAGCATTGGAAGTTGCACCCAGGTCGGCACCGAGCTTCAAGAGCGGGTGCAGTCTGATCCTTCAGATCTTGCGGAGGTGCCGGGTTTGCCGGGTGAGCTCGTTTGGGAGAGGAGGCTCTGTGAGTTTGGAGGCCTCGTTTTCCCAGCACAGGTCCTTCAGTCAGCCTTGAAATCGACGGGCCTCCTGGCTCCGCCGCATGGCCAAAGGAAGCTGGGCTAGAGCAGGTCGGAGGGTCGACCAGACTTCGGATCAATCGAACTCAGCCAGCCCTTATTCCACCAGTGTGCTAAACACCGAAACTCGTGTGCAGATGCTGCTAGGCACAGCCGGCTTCATGGGAGAATGCTCAGATCCGACCTTACTTCTGCGGCTCAGGTTTCTGCAGAAGCAGACGTTGGCCATCCCCATTTGCCCGAAGGCTCAGAATATATTGAGATACGCCAAGGGGACGAGAAGTTACAACGCGTTGCGCCCGAAGGCTTTCTAGAAAGCGGAATCCCCCGTCTCCACCCACCCACCCACCCACCCACCCACCCACCCACCCACCCACCCACCCACCCACCCACCCACCCACCCACAAACCCACCCACTAGCAGCAGGACGCAGGATCGTGTTAGAGCAGGATTCTGGCAGGCACGGGTCTTGAAGATGGCCGCGTTGTACGACCTGCGCATGACCGTTCAGGCACTGGTTGTCCACGTGCCGGATCAACGCATGCACATTCTCGTCTCCAGCTCGGATACAGGTTCTCGAGCAGGAAATCTTCAGACCTGTCCAGTCTCTCCTGGAACAGGCCCTGCAGCATGTCATCGTATTTGCCCGCCCACTGTCCATTGCACATGGGGTGTAACAGGGTGTAAGTACATGTTTCAGAAGCCCAAGCTGCATTCCATGTAGCAAACGCCAGAGTTGCCGGTTTGGTGCGATGCAGTGTTAGAAGGTTGGCAAGAGCCCCTCCTATGCGTGCGGCACTGAGCTCTAGGGTTCAGGATGGATGAGATGTGCCAAGCAGCCGCAAGGCAATTGCTTCTTTGCTCGCCTAGGCCACTTGCTGAGATCCAAGATAAGGTGCAGAAGGCTCGTGTCTTTGCATTGGCGGCATTGGCCTCCTTGACAGCAGAACGCACGTTGTATGACGTTGGGTGGAAGTGAGGAAATGCACTGGTGCATGAGAAGATTTGGTCCTTTGCGGGTTGTTCATGTAATTCCTGGAGATGGGTTCCCTGCTGTATCAGTCGCATCAGTTAGCCCGAAGGAGCTGGCACGCTGCATCGAGGAAGAGCATGACGGGGCCTGATCCCATCACAAGCGGTTTCCCAAGAATGCCTGCTAACCAGGGACCAACTTCAGACAGCTGCCAGGATTGTCAAGAGTCAAGACATCATGTCATCCTCGCAGCTTAGCACCACGTATTGTGTCAACAAGATTTCGGAGCAAGCCTCGCATGCTTAGAGAGGTGGAGCATCAAGCAACGCGAAATTTGCAAGAACATGATGGGAGCCTACGCTTTGTTTAGCAATTTGATGCCACCTTTCGGAATTTCACTGGAGCACCAGCGCGAAGGAGGCACAGCAAAATCGTCTACATGCTATTGCCACGCTGACTGGCGCTCCTACGTTAGATCTGCGAAGTACGGTAGAACGGCTGTTGCTGCAAGCCCTGCATGACCGAACCTTAGTACAAAGTGCAGACGTGTGCGCCTTGGCTTCTTGGCTTCAAGGTTCTGCAGGACTGCAGGCTTTCGCCGTAGCTCTCTTGGCCTCACGCTGGCAGAGTCTAGGAAAGTATGAAGAAGTGGTTTCTGACGAAAGGGACACAGCGCAGGGATGCTGCTTTGCGGAGGAACACGGCGGCCGGCCACCTTTGTGCAAGGGGCCTGTGCCGACCGCACCATCTGCAAGTTGGCCTTTTGTGCCGCGTGCAGCAGAAGCCTATGTCGAAAAGAGCCTTCATAGCAGAAGGTTGCGGAGTCCAAGATACCCTGGATGGAAAGAGATATGTATGTAAAACTGTATGTATATATATATATATATATAAATAAATAGATAAATAAATATATATATATATATATATATATTTTTTTTTGTTTATAAAAATATAAAGGTATGTGTAATGATTTGTTGGTGCAGCCAAATAGCTCGGTGCTAAGCCTAAGCCTTGCATGTCCCACTGCTGTATCTTTGGAGTTGTTTGGCTGAGTTGCTGCATGTTGCCTGGATGCCTAGTAGAATGAGTTTACTGTTGTGTCAGTTGCCGGCTCTCATTTCGGTTCAGGCCGCTTGACTTGGCGTGCAAGTGCCACAGTCTTCGAGTTATCACTCATGAAAGCCATTTGGCACATCAAGCTTTGCGCGGCGACGTGAGTTGCAGGATGGAGGGCTGCGGGCTACTTGCCTCGATTCCTTCTGAACACAAATTTGCGCGGGGTTGCGGCACCCGTCAGTCCGGATTCATCCATAGTAGAGTCGAGTATAGTATTGCAACATATCATTCTTGCAGCAATGTCCTCCGACGCGCATGCGGATGCTGCCACCTCCGAGCCCAAGGAGATGATCAGCAAGGTCGGTTCACGAAAGCGCTGGCATGCTTTGGCGATCTCTGACTCAGTGGAGAGGAAGAGTTGGCCGCTTCATACGGGAAGTCAGCGGCTGGTTACGAGCGACTCTGCAGCATCCAGGACCGGCCATCGGCGGGACTAGCCGAGCGATTGCTTTTCCCCCAATTCGCATGTGTGAGACCTCAGATTTCGGCAGGGAGAGCCGTAGATGAAGTGCACAGGCCAGCGCGCGTCAACTCGAACGCCTCGGATGACCACGTAAATTCAGGGAAGCTTGGAGAGGACGGTTCATGTCGCAATGTGGTGATCTCCCTCTGAGATGGTGGTCTCTGTATTGTGGATACAAGCGAGAGAAGGTTTTCTCGCAGAACAAGTGTCAACAATATCCAACAATTTTGATGCAAGAGGTCGTAACAGAAAACTTGCGTCCTTTCGGTCCCAGTTTCGACTTCTCTGTGATGCACACGGCGCACTTCAATGGGATAGCATTCAACACTCCTGCGACTGCTATGGCAAGCGGTTTGCACTGCAAAACGGCTGTGCATCTGAACGCTGTCTTGTGCTGGAGCCGACGATCTCGATCAGGTTCGGCTTCTGGCAGCTACGGGTGATTGCTTGCTTCTTCCATGCCTTGTGGAGACGGGCCCTAGCCTGGAGAGGAGATAATGCAGCTAAGGTCGATGCTTGACCAGGAGGTGATCGACAAGAAAGTGCTCTACGACAAGATAGTGGACATGCTTCTGTCAGGCCCATCAAGACCACTGAACCAGAGTCTAGGTTCTGTTAACGGTCCAGCTCCGCAACTGCTTGGCAGTTCGGTGTGCCTGGGAGGGCTTGGAGAACTCGAGGGTCCCGTGGCGGACGTGTCCTGCGGACCTGGACATGTCTTGGCGATGCTGCAGGACAGTCAGGCCATAAGCCTTCTTAACATCCCCATGAAGTATCTTGAGGTCAACAGTCAAGCACACGACTACTGAAACATGCCCCATAAGACATGTTCATGGATGTTTGGGTCAGTCAATCCCAGTGAGTCTCCATAATGCCGCAGCAGGAGCGACAGAAAGCACGGCCTCTCATGGGCAGCGACCTTTGCCAGGACATGGCTTGTGCGCTGACGTCCTGCTACCCTCGTAAGGGTTTTGCGATGTTGCAAACGCGGGCAAATGGAATGCAGAGAAGATGCCCTTGGATGTTCCTCTGTGGCACCAGCTTATCCAAACTGAAGCTTGCGTGTGTGTTGTGCGGAGACGCAAGAGAGGGCACGGACTGAGCCGTGACAGGACATGGTCGATCGAGCTGCCAAGCGGCTTCCGGATGCAACGTTTCAGCGTGCCGACATGACGGACAGTGTACGGAATCTTTGGTCTACTGCATCGTTAAGTGAGCTTCTGATATGCGGATGCCACCTGTGAGAACTTCGTCAGAACTCCTGTTTACCGTCGTAAGACGCAGTCGACAAGATGCCTGCAACGACATGCCGGCGAATGCACGTGGTGTCGCTGCTTCAATCACTGTGTTCACTAATGGTGCCTTCCTTCACCTGGCTTCGCATGAGAACTAGTGTAGGCCTGCAAACCACACTTGCACAGATGTTGGAGCTGAAACGAAGCACCGCTGCATGGAGACAGTGCCTTGCTTTAGCGAGCATGGTAACTTGGAGTTGCAACACCCTGGCGGCTCAGGCCCTATGAGCTGATGACTGATGACTCTGCGCAATAAAGAGAAGTTCCCAACAGATTCAAAAACATGACAAGCTACTACAGGCTAGACGTGCGCCCGTAGCCCGCTTGTGGTACTGGCAGGATCTTTCCGGTGCTTTCAAAGATGCCCAACTGGCAGGCCAGAACTGGAAATGTCCGGGGAGGGTGACAGGGATTTGGTCCTGGTAGGTTAGGAGTGCTGATGTTGGTTGGGCCTCCTTACCCCCTGAGGTGGTGGTGATGATGGTCCATCGATCGCGGAATCATTTACGGGTCGGCGAAACGAAACTCAAAATGTTAGAGGATGCTTGCCTGTAGCAACAGCTGAACGCCACGAAATCCCTTCCGTTGCTTCCAGCTCCAAATCCAATGGAAACACCGTCCCGGCGAGTCCCGACGCATAAGTTTCATGTGCTCGCGGAATCCGAGTTGCCTCGCTGGTACTGTGGACTCCGAGTATTTCTCGAGACGATTTTGGCTGAAGGTCTGAGGAACAAAATCCCCTGCAGATAGTCTTCCAACTACGTAAGTCACCCGTGACTTCTTGCATTCACACCAATACATACATACATACATACATACATACATACATACATACATACATACATACATACATACATACATATATACGCATATACAGAGTGAGAATGCCACTACAGAATGTTGGGTCGCGACGTCTTCTCGAGCCTGAGAGCTTGCACATGTTTGGACCTGCAGCAATGCACGTTGCATCCGAACTTGCCAGGGATGATCAACATGTTCGTGGCAGTCTCAGACACAGCTTCTGCTCAGCCAAGCTTAATGGGCTTTCTCTCTTTGAGCAGGCGGCCAAGTCAAGTTACGCTCACGCTGTAAACCTCCCCTTCTGAAATTTCCGTCCCACAACGGAAAACTCATTAGAGTCAGAGGCCATCCACCATGTGGATGAGACGGGTGTGAAGGCTGCTCTGGGGGAGGCTTCCCGTGTGCTCAGAGGAGCGCACTTCCGGGGTCTCCGTTGCAAGCAAGCTTTGGTTGTGGGCTCTGAGATCTCCTAGTCAGCCACCTGAATCCAGGAAACGGTTGCCTCCTACTGGCGCAGCTCGGCATTGCAGCGCTTCACTTCTTTAGAATCCATTTCGAAGTTATTTGTAGTTCCGGCAGGTAGATGCAAACTATCCACCAGATGGAAGAGCTCTGGTTGACAGTACTTGTAATATGTCTACCGGGGTCGAAGTGATTTGTGCACAGAGAATGCGCAAGAGCCATCAAGTTCAGCCTCGGGTGTAATCAGACTTCACCAAGCCAGCTGTTCGGAATGCAGCATAGTTTCATCATGTTTCATGGGTGGTGTTTGTGAGAGGATTTCGTAGCTCATTCCTGGATTCACGGGTCGACGTCCTTCAGTGTGGTTCGTCGAAGGTTTAAAGCTCCGTCTTGGCAAGCCCTTGCACGACACCATATGACAGTTGACGTTGTTTCCGGCTGGAGGCTTGGGTTTGGTAATTCTGGGGGTGTGTGCGTGAGGTGAAAGAAATTGCAACGCTCCTTTGCAGATACTCTTTTGGTACTTAAGCATCACAAGACAGCTCACTCTAAAGCAGCGAGTTCAGGGCAACACCCTATATTTCTCTTGTTCCTCTTGGGGTGAGCTCTTGAAATCGTTCGTACATGCTTTGCATCCAGATCGGGCTCTAATCGACACCGTTGCCGGCTCTTTCCACAAGCTATTTGAATGATATCCCCCATGGTCTGAGGTTCTGGGAAGGCCCCACCCACGGAGCGCAGATGCCCAGTGCGCCGAAGGCCTTTCAAGAATGGTCGAACCCAGGCATGTTTTGCAATGTTGGCTGCGGCAACTCTGGATCCACTGAGTCACTGTCCATTCTCCACAGTCTGACCGAGATGTCGCAGCACGACAGTCTAAGCAGCCCATCGTAGACCACGCTCTCTCGGACTTAAGCACCAACACACCACTTGCAGCAATGGCTCACAGCTATTCAAAATACACACATTGTGAGGAGTGGGGCGCAGCTCATCTTTGGAGCACAGCCGGAATGTACGATCTGGCCGTCCCTCGGCGAGGGTTGGACCGTATGACTAGTCCGTACTGCATGTGCAGCGACCGACTCCTCGTGCCTCACATGTCCTGGATTTCTGCAGCTACTGGTACGAAGCGGACCATCGCTGATGTCAGGCTGCTGCGGGCTTCGACCGGGTTTCAGAGCATCAGGAGCTCGAGAAGGACTTGCAGAGAGCGACGTGGTGGTTGTTTCCCAGCCCTGATTATTATGGAGCCACTGAGAGCAGAAAAGCTTTGCTACTGTCCACTTTGCAAACTTCTGCAGAAGCAAGAAGCATCTTGCCATATGTAACAGGGGTATGAATGCAAACGCGAGATCTGACCGGGGCAGCCGGAGAAATCGCGTTGATTGAGCGCACTACTTGTGTATTCCAAACACGATATTGGGGCATGGCATGTTCCACAAAGGCAGTTCTTTGTGCGTATGATTACGTACTTGTACCACTGCTGTCTTTTTTCAGTCGCATGCCGTAAAGCTGTGGTAGAAGGGTTCACGCATGCGCACATGTGTTTGTGCGCGCGCGGGTGTGTGTGTGTGTGTCTCTGTGCGCGTGTTTGTGCACGTCATGTTCGGTGTTTTGTTGTCTTTGTCTCCACGTGACACTGCCTCTCCGTATGTCGGCACGTCCATCCTTCCGTTAACCGCCATCCATTGTTTGCCTGCCTGCCTGTCCTGGTGTCCGTGTACAGCGTAGCTCGTGTCCGTAGTTCAACACGAACTAGCGAACTGCAAGCGGCAACAATCACTCACCTGTTTGTTGGATGTTGCGCGTGCACTGTAGGAGTTTGACATGAACATGGCTTTCCTCTGCCTGAAGAAGAGAAGCTGAAGGCGCCGAGAACGGTTGCCTTCGAGGATGCTTGGGCTTTCGAACTTTGTGACAAGAGTCTGAAGGGTGCATTCTGAAGACCGAGCTGACATGCCAGCTTTGCCTCCATGGCACGCTGAAGAAAGGTAGCTTGCAGCACATCGAATCGATTCTCGCATTGTCTCGTGCAGAAATGTGCGTGCGGCGCGAGTAGGCTACTTGGGTTTTCTGCGTGGTCAGCCAAGCGTGGGCTCACCACGTGCAGATCCTGTTTTTTTGCGCGCTCGATGGTTGGTGGCTCAAAGCCAGCATGCTGGAGTTCGCCTAGTGAACCGAACCGGGCCAGCCCGTAGAGCCAATGGGGCAAGAGCCCAAGCATTTCAGAGTGTTTGCGATGTCATTAATGCTTATAGGCTTATGAGACACTCATTACTGCTTTGTGAGATTCACTCGTTTGGTGCCCGCAGCATGCATGAACATGCGAGTGGCAAAGTATCAAGCAACCAAGCCAGAGTACACGGAGACTGCATAGTTCTTACAGCGCAGGTGGAAGGGAGCATGGGAACGACTGTTTGAGCATAGGCCTGCTCCCAGCTTGGTTAGAGAAACAGCAAAAAAAGAAGTGAACAGACGCGGGCCTGGGTGGTTGCGAGCCATGCGACACAGACGTTACCCATGCGGAGCTCCCACATGCACGAGCCTGCTTGCAAGTCCCACGAATGCTGAGGCCGCGGAAGTGGCAGAGAAGATGCATGACCCTTGTCAGCAATGAACGAGTGCATGAACAGTATACCATGGCTTGCATGCCATTACTCCGGGACGCAAGACGAAGAAAACTGCAACATAGTGGTCGGAAATGGTATTCGGCTTCTGGTGTGTTGGCTTCGGCTCACAATCCAAGACGAACATGTTCAGATCATGCGCGAGACTGCTGGCTCCCTGCTTGCAACGAGAACGCCGATCTCTGCAAAAACCGAGATGGCTGATGGCCTTCCAACTCTTCCACGTGGAGGTGCACAGTCCCGTCGAACTTTGGCCGTCGACTGCCCTGCGACATACGTGATGTGCTGCAACTGTCATCTGTCATAAGGAAACCTTGGCTCTATTGTGATGAGAATTTGGGCGAGTCAGATGCGATCAGACTCCGGCTTCACACTTTCGTCGTATCAAAACCAGCAGGGGATTTCATCCTTCGGCATTTGCAAAGCAGAATGCCAGGCCAAACGGGCAGCCGCATTCATAGAGGATGCCTCTGAAGTTGAGAGCCTTTCGCCCTGGCCTGAGTTGCTCGATCTAGATTATTGAAATGGGGCGTTCAGAAACTTTCACAAGAGTTTATGGAGTGCATGGCTGGCCATAGGTGAGAGAAGTCGTTTTGCTGCACCTGGGCATGCCGGCATGCGACAAGTGAATGACTGTGACCTTCAGGTCCTACGTGGTTTTTCTCCAAACGAGGCTGCACAGCGAACCACCTCGTACAGAAGTGCCAGCTGCTGAGCTCACGTCGGAGAGAAGCTACCAGTGTGCTTCGGTTTCAAGGTTCCTGCAGCCGATTCTCTCACTGCAGTTTTGCACACCTTCACGCCTTCTCGGCATGCCTTTAAATTGCACAAGATCGCAGGTCACTACGCAGAAAAAGCGCTTTTTATGGTTGCAGCCCACTGCGGGCATCATCAGACTCGCAGTCTTCACGATGCAGCTCTTTCTTGCCTGTTCGTACAAACCACAACAAACGGCCTACAAGACGTTCAGGTCGCGGAAGCCTTCTGGAGGCAGGGATTTGTGCTGATATGGCAAGACCTAATCTTGATGTGTTTGTGGGCTGGCAAAGTGGCTGGCTGTAATGAATGTGGTATAGCAGACGGACGAGATATGTGTGTGACTGTATTTGTACTTCTTATGCCTACACATGCACTCATGACGAGCTGTGATGTGGATGCATGGTCGTAGAGGCAGGGTTGACACCAAACAAGCCGCTGACAGTCCGCTGCTGGTATGTGTACAGTTTATCTGAAGTTTGCTTTCTTTTTTGTGCCGCGAGGTGCTTTGGCCAACAGCTCTGCAGAATTGAGATCCATGACGAGCCCGAAACGACCAAGCCACAGCGGCCAGCATAGCGCTGTCGCCGGCGCTGGGGTGCACCCGGCTTCTCATAATGCGTCACAAGCCTTGGTTGACACAGGGAAGCAGAGCAACACATCCAAGCCAATGTCTTCCTCGAATACATTGGTCAACAAGACGGCGCAGCTCTCAGCTATACATGGGGGGGAGCGGGGAACGCAGTTGATGTCTCTGACAGTGTGACGGCTTCCGATACGGCTCGTCAAGGCATCAAATCACAACTCAGAACTCATAACCCAATCGGAGACATGCCGAACTATGTGCAAAGTGCTCCGCAGGACGGTGGCTCAGGTGAGCAACGGGCTCACCGCAGCAAATTCCCAGTTAATGCAGTCCACGCAGCACGTCACACACCTACAGTAGTAACAGTACCAACGTATTCATGGTTGCAGAGCATCGAAGAGCCCGAATCACGAACACGCAGACATGCTTCCCGACACACTAGCACTAGCCTCTTGAAGTGCCTGTAGCACAACTGGCCTGCAAGGGGGCGGACGTGTCTTGGTCCTCCGGCTTGTCGCATGCCAAATGCCATTTCCGGCCACTGTCCTGACGTGACATTTTTCACTGGCGACCTTTTTTTGGGGCATGCTAGCAGGCAGGGCTGCATAGCTGAAAGCGACCTCTTGAACTGGGAGATGACTGATTTTTCTCCACTGGTCATGCACTCTCGTTTTGTTGCGCAGGCGGAAGCAGTCAAGATGCTCTTTCACTCGACGGCATCGGAGACCGGCAAAGCAAAGCAGGGTCCCAGCAGCACTCACCCAGAGCTTCCTCTGCCCTCCCGGGAGAGTCTCCACAACCTTCATCGTCCAAGGCAGGGTGTTGCTTTTGTGCCGGGACTGTGGTTTTACGTCATATCCTCACTCGTGCGCTGGACGCCGTTTCTTGCAGCTTCATGTGTGCATTACCTTTAGGCGCTAGTGATATCCCCTCCTGTGCACGCTACCACTTTCAATGGAGCGGAGCGTTTGGTTGTGGGCAGCCTTCGGGCTTTGGCTTGGCTTTACGTTGATGACTGGGTACACTCTGTGTCAGGCATCGGAGAGAAGCGACCGAAGTGATCAAGCGTTCTGGAACCCGCGCCTCGAAAGCGATGGGTCGATTGTGATGAACTTGTCTTGATGTGGCGATGTGAAGCGTGCAGCTAGAGTGCTGTTCGACAGTTCTGGACAGCAGGGACAGCACGACGAGTCACGACTGTGGGCAGCTGTCCGGCGACCAAGGTTTGTCCACAGCGATAGTGAGATTGCGAGCACCCACACGCGGTCCGAGTCTAGCGACATGCCGTTGCAGCCGCCGCAGCCTTTTTTTTCTCGTCCTGGCAACCTTCCAGAGCAGGCCGGCCGGGAAAGCGTGCTGCAAGCTTCTAGCGAGTCTAGGGATACTCAAGATTCGGGGACCCTCATGTTTAGACGGCGTCGGAGCCCTTGAATCCCAAAGCGGAGCGAGCTCCTGCCGACAGAATCGAGCCTAGGCCTTGGCGCTTGCAGGCCAGGTCGACAGGTCAAACCACAGCGAGCAGATGCACGCAGCATTACGACGACAGCAGATCCATACACCGACGGACGGGCTGCCGTGAAAGGCAGTGTGCCGACTCAGAAATTAGTCGCGTCATTGGATTGCTTCCAAACGCAACAGACACCCCACACATGCCACCCAAACACCTTTGATGCGGCAAAGGCGAAGAGATGTGACATAGCTGTGTTTGCTTCTCGTCCCTGGTACTGAAGCCCCGTCGGAACGAGTTGCAGACCAAATTAGCCAGGAGGCTCCCGCCAGGCCGCCTGGTATCTGGACGAAGCCGTCGCTCGTGTTGCAAGTTCATTGAAGAGCCACCGAGCTGGAGAACACGCCTTGCACAGCCTTGCAAGCCCACGTCCCTTGTCACCCCTGTCAAAAGTTTCGCAGCTGAGGACGCAAATGGGGTCGCTCGAAGGCGAGCCCAAGCTGTCCAGCGACAAGCCTCCGATAACGGCTCCATCCCGGCCGCCAGGAGCAGCAGAAGTACGTAGTTCACTAAGGCAGTGAGGGAAAGGTCAGAGCCATGTAATGCCCGAGCTGCACCGGCACCATGAGTGTTTGGACAAGCAAAGGGCCACCATGGAACCTGCTTGCACGCATGCCAAGATGTGTGCTGATTGAAGTTGCAGAGGAGTCTTCCATGCGCGACCTTCCTCCAGCAGCACATTCAACTTGAATGCTCCAGTGTTCGTCCCTCAAGGGCACGCAGCAAAGAGCGAGCCGCCAGAAGCAAACCAGGCAGTTGCAGAGGGAAGAGTGCGTGATATCGGAGTGCATTATTTTTCTCTTAGAAGCTCTTAATCGTTTCTTTTGGGGGACATGGGTTAAAACAAAACCTTTTTGAGGGATCAATAGAACTTCCCAAGGATCAAAAGAACTTTCCCAGCTTTATTAGGCAAAAAAACAGAGTGAGGGAGAGCGACAAAAAGCAAGAGCGAAAGAAAGAAAGAAGAACAGAAAGCAGGAACGGCAGAAAGAAAGAACGAACGAAACAAGGAAGGAACGAAAGAAAGAAATAGCGAACCGTAGCCTTTTTGGCTTTTGGAACCTGCACTGGAGCCGTGGATGTCAAAAACCCAGTCTGGCTTCCGAAAGAAAAAATCTACATCACAAGCCCTATTTATCGCAAGAAGACTTATGGATATGGCAGAAAGGCAAGGTACCAATCTAATGCTTGTATTATTAGACTGGCGGCTCAAGTTCTCGGCTCGAGCCACCCCGAGGGAGAGACGGTTCCTCTGTGACAAGTTACCTTCCCCTATGACTGGGGAGAGTAGGCCCAAAAACATCCAGATAAGCTTCGGGACTGAGTTGAACCCAAAGCTGCCATGTCAGGTCCCCCCGAACAAGTGACCTTGCCCAGTGTTGGTGGTGGTGCTGCAAATGCTACTGCTGCCCCTGCGAGCATGTTGCCTGAACGTGATTTGAAGGAGCAGAGTTCCCGTGAACCTGCTCTTACTGGACCAGCAAGAAGGGTTTCGGGAGGAGTAGCCTCACATCAAGGAGTGCTCGAGCAGTCTGCGAGAGGAAGAGGCGATGCCAAAGATAGGGACAGCCCTAAATTTGATGCTGAGCGTTCCAGAGAAAGAGAAAGAAGCAGAAGGCTTGAAAGGCCCCCAAGACGCACTGACACTAGAAATGATGTGTCTCGCGAAGCTGAACTCAAGAAACCCAAGCTTGAACATGAAGCCCCTTCCAACACAGATGAGCTCATGGAAGCCGCTGCTGCCCATGGAACGGTAGAGTGTCATGTTGCAAGCCACTTAGCCGCTGTGGGATCTGATGCCCGTGCCTCTGTTTTTGACCTTACCCAACAGGATTCCCAGGATGACCAGTCTCCTGATCGAGGCCAACAGATCCCACCTCCCTATCACCCACATCCTGCCGCAGGAATAGGGAATGCCTATGAGAGAGGCCAAGGACCTGAGACTGCCGGCTTAATCCATGCCCCTACCCCACATCCTGGTGCCCCCACTACTCCCCTAAATGAACTACTGAGGAACCAAGGGAACGCACAACCCCCCTGGATAGGTGACCTGCTAGGATCCATGGCTGCCCTACACAACAAACAAGACCGAACACATGCAGACGTTCTCAGCTTTGGACATGAAATCCAAGCCCATGCGTTGAGACTTGACACACTTGAGACAGGTATGAAGGAACATACGGATAAACATGCAACTACCCATAGCAGACTTACTGCCCTGGAGAAGCAACTTCATGAACTTCAAGTGTCTCGTCACTCGCGATCACCCACACCCTCCAGACATGGTGGGCGTAGTCCAAGAAGCCCCCGCTCACCCCACTTCTCAAATGTCCCGGAAAGAGGAGGTGACCTCAACAGCGAGGTTGACGATCTTCAGATTGTCATTGGGGGTTGGGTTGATGTTCGGAAGACTGATGCCTTTGAGGAAGTAAAGAATATGCTCCAGGCCATCAACTTCCCACAAGCTGCTAAAGACTTCTGGGCACCAGCATCTAGGACGAACTTTGTCAGGGTGACACTTGCCTTTCCCGAACCGAATGCCCATATATCGGTACTTCGATCCTTCCAAACCAAGATCATTACAGCGTTGAAGAGCAAGACTTTCAAAAGCGGAATCAACGGGCAAAACAGCTGCAAGATTTGGGCGACAAAAAACAAGTCAATTGAGGACAGAGCCATGATTCGAGCCTGTGTCTTGTCTAATTAAGCTCTTCTACGAAGCTTTGCCACCACATGAAGGACGCGCTGTTGCGACTCCAGAGATTGTTTGGAAGGGAGGGAGGGTATTTCTTGACCACGTGCAAGTTGTGTTTCACATTGATAAAAGGGAGCCAGGAGGTGGAGACTTGTTTCTGCCTGACAATAAAGGAAACCACATGGAGTGGTATCTCTGTGCACATGCTTTTCACACTGCCACAGGACGCGAGGCGGATACCTTGCATGAGTGTTACACACAGTATGGAAGCACTTCAACGACCTCAAACTAGCAGGCAAAAACACTCAGTTTCACGCACTCAGCTGGAATGTCCAAGGCAAGACACTCCAGAACATTAGTGACACTTGGGATCAGCTGTGTCTTGATGGTATGGACTGTGTTGGTGTTCAGGAACTCGGAGGTTTGGCTGGACAAACCGAGGAATGGAAACTGCATGACACCAAACTGGATGGTGCATGGGGCTTCTATACCTGCCGTCCTCCCAAAGTCCATCATGCCATTGCCCTAGGACTCCCTGCCAACGTCCTCCCGTATGTCACTGATGTCTGTGTGTTGACCTGTGGAATTGGGGTCCTTGTTCGGAAGGACTCCTCTAAGAGGTTTTTTGTCAGCGCCCATCTCCCTCATAAGCAAAGAGAGGACTGCATTGAAATGTGGCAGATTTTTCAAACTGAACTCGATGCCTTTACTAATTCGCGACGCTTGCATGACTCTTTAATTCTCTGCATTGATGCCAATTATGAATTAGGAATTTCTGAGTCGGCCGAAGGAATTAACACCATGGATGAAAGAGGGCCCATTAGCAATCTGCTTATCCAAAGCCATGGTCTTGAATACTGGAGGCCGGATTCCTATACATGGTCTAACTCGCGAGGATCTACCTCTAAAATTGACTATGTGATGTCTTCCCAACCCTTAGTCCGTGAGTCTTACTTTAGGACCATCATTGATTCTGATACTCTACTTGGTAGTGACCATCGTGGTTCTGTCGCAATGTTTGAAGCCAACTGCTGCTTCCCGACCCAAACGTCCCCCACGTAATAGGTGCGGCAAGTGGATCGTTTCTTCTGAAGAAGCGATTTCTGCATGTGAGAACCTTGCTGAAAATCTTGAGCTGCAGATGCAAGATTTGTCGATGAAAGCCTTGGCCAACGCAGCCAAGACTTGCTCCTTCCGAGGGACTTCTTGCAGATACCGCGACCCGCCCAACATTAGAGCCCTAATTGCCGAACGTAGGAGACTCTCTGGCTCTGATGCCCGTAACTTGGGGAAGCAGATCGTGAGACTACGCGCAGTAGCCAAACAAAATTGGATGACGGACTTGCTAGATAAGGGCGCTTCAGGTGACTATCGGATCATCTCTTTCTTTAAGAGACGTCAGTCTTCTTTAGTGACCCATTGTAACTACTTGACCAGAGCTGGGGGCCGCACAAAAGCTTTATGTGACCTCAAGAGGTTTTATCGGCTTAAATATGCTGACCCTGATCCAGTGCCCAAAGACCTCCCCATTCAACTTTGGCGCGAAGGGGTCGGCCCGACTCTTGCCCCAAGACTGATAACCAGCGAGGAAATCGAGTTCGTACTCTCTACATGTAAAAGGGGCAAATCCTGTGGGTCGGATGGTATCAGCTACGAGTTTCTACAAATAGCAATCCAATCCGGACTACGAGATCACCTCACTGAGTACTTTAATGCTATTTTACTTGGTTCACATTTTGTACCTGAAGAGTGGTTCGTCTCCAAAGTCACCTTTATTCCTAAGGTGGTCGGCCCCCCTCACCCCAAAGGACCTCCGCCCCATCGTACTCTCTTCTGTCCCAGGCAAAGTTTTTACGAAACTCCATTTATATAGGTTACGAGCTCACTTCCCAGCTATGAGCGCAGGGCAACTTTGTTCAGTCCCCGGGGCACAAACGCTTGAAGGCTCATGCGCCCTCCAACAATGCATCCGTTTGTCACAAGAATATCATCTGCCCCTAGTTGTAGCAAAACTCGATATCACGAGCGCGTTCGACCATCTAAGCCACTGCGCGGTGGCTCGTTTTTTGCAACATGTGAAAGCAGAAATTCTGATGCTCATTATCACTTATTCTTCCATTTTAGTAGGTATGGCTGATTCCGAGTGGGCCCAAGACCTTAACAGGGGAATTGTCCAAGGTAACTCGTACAGCGCGGAAATCTTCGCGAGAACGGTCGATTATTATCTAGGTTTTTTGGTTGGACAATGGCAACAACAGGAAGAAACCTGGTTAAGGCAAGAGCTTGGTGATTCATCCTTTGTTAAGCTTTTTAATATACTTTTCGCGGATGACTTAATCTTATTGGCTACTAGTTTCGAGCAGCTCACTCGTATGCTGGAACAAGTACGTAGCACTCTGGCGGCCATAGGGCTCACCCTTGCTACCGAAAAATGTAGAGTGCTGTCCGCCCCCTTTCTTGAGAAACAAACGGTCAGGATAGGTGGCATCGCCTTAAAACACGTTTCCTCGTTCCTCTTTCTAGGAGTCCTCGTCGGGTTTGGGGTCCAGTGTCAAACTGTACTGAACACCCGACTCACCTTTGCAACAAATAGCATCTGGGGACATTTTAAGCTCCTCAAAAGGCCGGTAGGATCAAATAGGAAAAAATTGCACCTTCTTCATTCATACGTCACTTCTAAGTGGCGATGGATGAGTGCATGTGTCAGGCCAATTCCAGCAGTTCAGCAAGCCCTTAAAACCCTTCATACGTCTTTTCTTGGATCCCTTTGTAGGTTCACGACAGATCCTTTCGTACCGCTAGTATACAACTGGGTCATTAGGAGACGGGCTGCGCGCATGACAGCCCAAACCCTGCAACATTGCAGGTGGGAAGGCCTGCACGCACAATCATTCCTTCGTTTTTGGGGTCATGCTGCGCGCATTCCAAACGCAAGACAATCACCAATCACAATTGTGTTGGCTGTGAGGAATGAGGAATGGATTTCCAAATATGGCCATATACATAAACGTTCTTTGGGGTTTTGGCCTAATGCTGCTCGCCTTATCCAAAAAATTT